GAGTTTGGATTTGTGGAAGGGGAGCGCTGCCGGAGGAGCGGAGCAGGTTCGGCTGCAGCTGAAGGTAGGGTCGGTAAGGGCCGGGGCTGCCTGTGGTAGTGCGGAGGGGACCGGGGAGAAGGAGCGGAGGGAGGGCGGCCCGGGTGGGGAGAGGGGGTGTGCCGCCATGTTGCGCTGCCCCATTGAAAAGCCTAAGATGGGTGCCTCCCCCGGTGTTCGGCTGGGGGGGATTAGAAAAGGACTCCCCATGGCGCAGGCCGGTCCTGTCTCTCTGCTTGTGGAGGTGCAGCTCCTCTTCATACAGAGTGTGTGTGGGGGGGTGGGTTTACGTCTCGGCTCGCTTTCCTTAACGCGGCACCCTTCAGAACGAGCCTCGCTCCGCACGACCAGCCTTTGTGGGGAGGGGAGGCTGGATTGTGCCGGGGGGCGCAAGGGAGCCTGAGGGCCGAGTTGCGGATGAGTTTGCTGGCTAGTTCACTTGGAGCGTGGGGGTGGGCGAACGTTCCAGGGAAGCCTTAAAAAACTCTGAAAACATCTCTGCGTGTTTTGTTTTGTTTTGTTTTGTTAATTATCCTCTCTTTCCGTGGAAGACTTTTGTGTGAACGTAGCAAACCGCCCCGTAGTTTAATGGACGTCGCTCCTCATTTTGGGGTTAAGAATTCCAGTTCGGTAATTGCTCGGCAGTTGCTTGTTTGGGGAGGAAGAAGTAAAATTCACTTTCCTGGGACTGCCGGGTGGAGAAGGGGAAGATCGGGGGGCTTTGTTTGGTTTCCTCCTCTCGAGGTTGTGGTTTGGAAATCCCCTCCTCCCCGTTGTGTAGTGCTTGGAAATTCCCTGTGTGGTTGTGTTGCGTGGACGTGTCAGGGTGAGCCATAGGAGCGGAGGGGAGGAACCCTGGTGGGGCAATCAGAAGACTCCTGCCTTGTTTGGAACAAATGTTTTACTAGTTGGGATAGATGGTTAACGATGGGTCAGAGTTGGCCGGGTCTGTGGCGAAATTGATGTGAAATATTTATACTGGGTTGTTTGCGACACGGAGTTGTGCAGATCAGTTCAAGGAGGTGGGTTTCTGTGTGTGATGGCCGTCTTTCTTAGTTTCTCTCTCGGCTGTTGAGAGGAAGACCTCTTTTGGAGTACGTGGAGCGATACTGCTTCCCAGAATGAATTGCCCTCTCCCAGCCTGTACCCTCCAGATGTCTTGTAGAACAATAGACGTCGTTTTGGTTAGTAGGGCTGATGGCAGCTGTGGACCAGCATATCTGGGGGCGCTAGGCTGAAGGAGGCAGGAATAGGGTGACACTGTTCTAAATACCGAAATATTTCCTAAGAACCTTCCTTCGTTGTGTTTGGAGAGGGACTTTTCTCCTGCTATCAGGAATGTTTTAAAGATTTTGGTTAGCTGTCAGTGTCCTGCAAAGTAATTAGCTTTAATAAGACTGGCTCCTATTGATATAGTTATACAAAAATGCCTATGGACAGTGCTATGCTAAACTTGCCATTCAGATAGAAACTTGTATAGACAATGGAACACTCCGTGGTTGTGAAAAGATTGCTCTCTGGGTGTTTTAATGGAGATGAATCAGCTAATAGAACAGAAACAATGTGCTGGCATTGCTCACTCCATTACTCCCTCTATTTTTGCTGCTCAGCAACGACCAGTTCTGCATACACTTTGGCTTATTAGTGATAAGAATCCAGTTGTGTGCAGTAAGCCTTCTGTTTAAATATAAGGAAACATTTTCTGAAGATAAGATCTGTACAACAGTGGAATAGTTTACTCATGAGAGGTTGTGGGTTCTCCATCTCTGAAGGTTTTTAAGAGGCTGGATGGTCACCTCTCAATGGTTTAATTGGTTTGCTTACATGTTGTAGGGGGTTGGACTAGATGATTCTAGTGGTCTCTTCCACTGTCATAATTCTGATTCTGTGAATAAGCATGTACAGAATTGGGCTCTTCGTGCCTTGTCTGGAACTCCTGATATTCCTTGGGCCAAAAAGGTAATGCAGTAGAAATGCTGATTCAGGGCCTGGAGCCGCCAGCTGAATCCCTCCAAAGTACTTTGGGTTTGGGATCCAAGTATTTCCAGGGTAGTTCCCTCTCTGGAATTGTACTCCTTTGAGAGATGGTTCGCCGTTTCGAGGTCCTCCTGGACTCATAGCTCCTGCATGAACAGCAGGTGGCAGCTCTGGCCAGGAGGGGGTTTGTGCAGTTACATCTTGTATACCAGGTGTGGCCATTCCTGGATCAGGAAACTGCTCACCTCCCACTTGGGTGATTGTAATGTAGTCTGCACAGGGCTGCCCTTGGAAAGCAGCTGGTACATACTGCAGCAGCCTAGGTAGTGATGAGCATATCCCAATATACTGGGGTGACCTCATTGTTTCAGGAGCTGCACTGATTGCTGGTTGGCTTTTGGATATAATTCACAATGCTGGTTGTCACCTAGGCCCTACATGGCTCTGGACTGCCTTCTCCCATAGTCATCTCCCTGTCTGATCAGGTTGAACAGGGTCAACTTCCTTCAGGCCCTGTCTGCATGAGAATGCCATCAGACAGGGCCTTGTAAGCAGGCATTTTCCATCACTGCTCCCATACTTTAGAATTCCCTTCCAATGGAGATTTACTCTGCTCCTTCTGGGTTTTAGGAGTGTGGTTATTCCATCAATTACATGCTGTGATTGAAGATGTGAATTTGGTGGGCATGTTTTGGAACATTTCTTTCTTTTTGTATAATTTTGATACTGTATTTGATTTATATGTAGGTTTATTATTTTTGAGGTTTTTTGTTTTTGACTTGACTTGGTTATCTTTCTGATTGTTAGCTGCCCAAAGCCTTCAGGAATGGGCAGCAAATAAATAAACAAAACTAAAACTCAAAGCATTTGATACAAATAATGACAGTAAATTTGTATTTGACCTATCCTGTCCAGCTTCTAGGTACATATTAAGTTTATGAGGTCTTAGTTATGGTACTCTGCTTTTTGACATATTCTGGGTGCCATTTTTCCCACTTTTAAACATGTTGCATTTATACTGTTTTCATACACATTCTTTTATTCTAGTGATTGTCATGTTTATAATTTGGACTGATTGGTTTAGTTTAGAAAACTAAATCACTTTTGAGATTTTTTTTAAATAGGGAGTGGTATACAAATATTTTAAACAAAACGTTATTATAGATTTCTGTATTCTTGCTGTGGTGATTGTTATATTTTGCATCTGCCAAATTACTGTTTATATACCACTTTGTAACAGCATAGCTCTGTAAACAGGTAAAACAAAAGTAACAGTCAGATTGTTTTAAATAAATAAAGCACTATTTGGGACTAGGAGCTTTCTTTCACTTTCTACTTCAAACTTCATTTTAGAGCCGGGACTTCTATCCTTGAAGCCTGCGTGCCGAGAATCCGATGTTGGGCTCGGCTTCGTGGCTGAAAACGGCAAACCGGCCCATGAAAACTACCATTCCTAGCCAAAAGGGATCCAACAAGAGTCAGCATCTTTTCTTTCAAGTCTGGCAGCAAGAAAGAGGACAGGAGGTGGACATTGTGGAATCTGAAAAGAGAACTGAAAGGTAACTGGGAGCAACATAAATTATGTCTTAAGGAAGGACTGGGGTTCCTTTGTATACTCTGTTGTTTCTTTGAAGACTGTTTCCTCTTGTAGCAGGTAATGAATGTTAAACTGGTCTAAAAGTTACAGTTTATGATATACCTTAAGTTCAGTCAGTAGTTAAACACTAATATCCTTGTCTTTTATCAGTTTATTAAAATGTTTGATTGGGCTGTTGCTTTTGGTTTTATTCTGCATGGAAAGTTGCCATGCAATATAAATCTGAACATCACTTAATGTTTAAAATAGGGCTGGTTTATTATACAGTGAAGATGCTCCTTTACTGAACATGGGAAGAAGTTGGTGTTTTAAAAAAAACCTGATAGAATGTTGTTTCAAAGATTTTTGTTTCGGAAAAGCTCTTCTAAATGGCTTATTGTACTATGTTGTCTAGCCTATTGTGCTTTATTTAACAAACCATGGTTGGAAAAAATCACAATTTACTGTGGTATGTGAAACAAACCAGTATACTGTGGAATTGAATCTAGCAGCACTCCTAAGCCTCCAGAAGCATTTCTCATGAATAAATTGTACTCTTAATCTAAATATTAGTGAAGCCTTTTTTTTAAAAACACAGTTTTGCTTCTAGTTAGATCAATATAGTAGCTTAAAAACCCAGCTCACATGCCAGATTTTGGAACCAGGATCATTGAGGACTAGTACAACTATTTGATTCTTGTGGTTGTAATCTGCAAATACTCTGGTGATTACCACTGAAGCTTTTTTACAAATAAATATTATGGTTACCACATGTCATATTTTCTTGGTTTTCCCTTGACAATTATATTTTGTCTTTTCTTGTCTCTCCCCAATCCCTGGATAGGTGACATTTAACTTGAAGATGGGAGGTGGAGAAAGATTCAGTGTTCCATCTGTCCAGTCCAGAAATGCTACCAAGGGCCATCAACAACTGAATAATAGAAAAAAGAGTAAAGATCAGAATTCCCATATGAAGAAAATTCACAAGAAAGAGAGGGGACATGGATGCAGCCCATCATCTGTAGCATGGCAGGCCATGCACAATGAAGGAAAAAACACAGTGCATTTCCAAACCAACCAGACTTGGAATCCAGCTTTAGCCCACTCGCTTTTCATGCCTCAAACCAACCAAAACTACGCCGGAGCAAAATTCAGTGAGCCGCCATCCCCGAGTGTTCTTCCTAAGCCACCAAGCCACTGGGTAACTGTTTCATTTAACCCTGCTGATAAAGAAATCATGACTTTTCAACTTAAGACTTTGCTTAAAGTACAGGCTTAAGTTCCAGAGAAAATGACACTTCATAATTTCAAATTTCAGTATGAGTCCATTTTGGGTTCCGGAATTCAAACAGAGGCACAGCATACAGAATTAAATTAGCACTTTGGAAAGTAGTTGAATTGTATATGACAGTGAAAGATCATTCCTTGGAAATACTATAGTTAATCGTTCACTTTTTGGGGTTACTGAGCACTGTATCCATTTTTATGTGCTATAGATGCACTGTTAAAATAATTAGGTAGCCTAGACCAAATCTCAGCCATTGTTCTGTATACAAATTGTACTGGATAATTAAATTTTAGTTTTCTCCCTCTTCTGAAAGTGTGCTTGACAGAATGTCTTTTGGGGTGTAGTAATACAAGCCAAACAAATTTCCAACAACCACAATGTAATATAATTGGAAAATATAATTATTTCCTGTACTGTGAAATTCTGTAGGTATTCAAAATCAGTAACTTGTTTTTTGAGCTCTTACCTAAAATTGTTGTAAAAAGCAACTTGGTTTGCTCAAGTAACTCATTTATCTGTCATTAAACTGGTGGTTTAGGCAGGCAAATATCCTTTCAAAGGCTTGTGACTTGAAATATAAATACTTGCCTTTGAAATGTCAATCTATGTAAACACTTAATTATGAAAATAATTGGCATGCAATTAATCTGTAGCTCTTATACAATCCTTATAATGCATTGAACATTGATACCCAACAAATGTGCCAACTTGAATGTTTTCAATGACTGGTAACTGCCAAAAGCTTCTAGTGTCTTTTTCTTCGGTGAATTTCATTAAGTTGTTTTTGATACTCATTCTGTATGTTTTGCATCATTTCCTGAAACTGAACTGCTAAGGCCAGTGTGTAATAGGGTAATCTGTTATATGAACTTGTTTAAAGAATTTTGACACCTGTAAAAACATCTTTTATGGAGGGAAGGAAGAGCCATGTAAATAAATGTAAAACTTGTAGCATATGTAAATTTATTATGGGCTTTCCTGCCAAAATGAAATATTTTTAGTACAAAACTGCTGAATGTAAAAAAAGCCATGTTAAATACATGGCATGATTTTTTTTATAAAAAAATTGTTAAAAAAAACCTTAAAAGCACATATCTATGCCATTGCACTTGAGTATCAGTGAGAGTATGTGCTCAGCTTGTGTTTGTTTAGATGATAAATTGGATTTAACTTGGTAGAAAGAACCTTTTCTTTTTAATGGTTAAAATGTTTTTGGAAGTTTAAGGGCGCAATCCAGTTCCTGTTTAATGCAGGGGCAAAATTCTTGCTAATTCAGTAAATGATCTTGCACTCTTAGATTTCAGTCCTAATATACTTTGTTGAAAGCAAATCTTGTTTTAATCAAATACTCAAGTGTTTTTGGGACTGGGCTGTAAGGCTGCATTTCAGTGAAACCTCAACTCCTGCGCAATACTGGAACTGTTGCATACAAGTTGTATTGCACCCTCTGATGGTTGCTTTCATTTTGGATGTATAAAGTAACTTTAGCAAAGACAAATTATTAGAAGTTGCAGTGTCCAAAATGCCAAAACCCCATCTTGTATTTGTCAAGATATATAATAATCAAGGGTTTTACAAGTATTTGTTTTTAAACTATGTATTATATTGTAGCACTTAGCTGTTTTATATGCGGTCACTTGTTAAAGAGAAGTATTTCATTATATACCTTTAGAATTTTTTTTGTTTTGTGTCTGAACTCTTCTTAGAAGCAGCAGCTTTAGAATTTGGTAGAATTTCAGATGTGTTAGGCACTATGTATCTTGGTGAAAATAGATTATGTAAATAGATTATGTAAACTAAAACATTATACATAACAAATGTATAATGATGCTAAATTTCCAACAATAGTAATGAAACATTTAATTGCCTTGAAAGATGGGTTTTTTTAAAAAAAATTCTTAGGGATATTTGGCTGTACATTGTTGCACATTTTAGCTACTTATATATTCAAAATGTTTTAGCAACCATCAAAATATTTAAAATATTCCCAAATAAAACAGATTGGACAACTTGCTCAAAATATTACACCTTATGCCCCAAATGTATCCCAGACATTTGAAAATCATTGTTGTATCCCAGATGTAATTTTGATATTCTAAATTCTATGCTTGACATACTTAGATATGAATTTGAAACAAAATTTAAATAAAAATCCTTAACCTTTTCTCCCCAGTAATGTGTTGGCTTGCTACTTATTTATAGTATTTTTATTCTTTTCAAACTAAAAAAGCATGTATAGTGAGCACTAAAGGACGTCTTGCCCATAGACCTAAACTAAAGCTATAAGAGGAAGTTGAAGAGGAAAAAAGCATGTGTGCATCAATTCAGTTTTAATATGAACAGCTGCAGACAATTGGAGAGTAACCCAGTGGGGGTTTGTTTCTTTCAATAGGCACCTTTAGATAGAAGAATGGAATTTTTGCTTGTAAAGCAGAGGCTTTAACATTGAGCTGTGAATCAAGATATTAAAAAATGAAAACTACAGATGTGATAAAATATTTGCTGTTGGGTGGTAAGTGGGTTATGACCAGCTATATCTAATGACTATTCTTGGGAACAAATTCAAAGTTTCCCTTGTACAACATTACTGGATTACTCTGGACATGTTGAACCAAAGAAGCTTAAGAGAAACTATTTGTACTGTTTAAAGGAATCTATTTTAATCTGACTCATTTGGCTGCGTGGATTTAAATTCTACTTTAAGCTGATTACAGTATGAAATATATCTGCTGCATAAGAATGACTCATACAAAAAATGGGTGAACCACCAAGCATTTTTTTTTTCAGTTAGAAAAATAGGCAAATTAGTTGGCTATATTGACATATGGCTGAGATGGTTTTTAAAAAATTAAAATATTCATAAACAGTTTAGCTGTTTTGCAGCCCAGGTATCTTGTACAAACACCAGCAATAGCAATATATTCAGTTCAAGTCAAAACAATATGGTCTTCTGGCAAGACAAAACTGGATGTCTTGTTCTGGATATCAAAAAATTGACATGGCTATTTAGAGCATGAGATGTTTTTCACGCCTTCCTCCTGATTGAGGGGAGCTTCCATTGGCCTATAATTTCATTTCAGGATTTAAAAGTATGTTTGAAACAGATGAAATTTAATATTTTTGTGAAAGAGCCAAAATTAATAAATAGCGCACAATAAATGTGTGCAAGGCCCCACCTCCTTTTCATTACTGTATTATTCTGGGCTTTTGAGGTGGTGGTTTTGTTTCTTATGTTCACCACTCAGAATGACAACTGGCGAGATGAGTGGCTACACAAACCAATAAAATGTTTACATAACTGATTCAGGATTTAATCTCTGAGACAGAATTTGTTCTGGCACAACATAAACTATTTTATTCTTCTAGGTATGTCTTTCTCATTGGCAATGAAGCTCTGAAATAATTACTGCTGCTATATTGAACAAGCAGCGTGGGTTTTCCCCCTCTTTAAATATGATCCCTCCCCAAACAATACTAGTTAAAACTACAATAGAGAATTCTGTATTTTTACTTCCTTTTTTATTATAGTTTGTATGCTAGATTTACAGCAAGCAGAATATAAGCTGGATTCTCCTAATCAAAACAGTGATGTCTTAAAGTAGTACCTGGTATTTAAAAAAACATATAAAAATACCTTTTTGGAAGCCTCTATAAGAAAGGAAATATAAAGTTTATTTCCACAACTTTCCTCTGACCAGAGCTGCACAGTAACACTACAGTTTTACACTTTGTTTTAAACTATACATTAGGGAGAACTACAAAAAATAATGTAAGCAATAAATGATTGCATAGCAGGACATTAACTTTTAATATTAAACAAAAATTAGAAAGGCTATCAAATATACAAAGATTCTAGAATCACTCCTTCAGCACATTGAATAACCAGTGTTTTAAAAGCCATCTTTACTCCTGAGTGGCTTACTGTATTTGAATAGCTGGAACTTAAATCTGAAACTAGTTCTCTACAGAGACAAAGAGCTCACCAATAAATTTTCCTGCTAAACAGAAGTAGGGGACCTTTAATGATGGATACTGATTTTCATACTTCCAACAGAAAAGTTATGTTCTTAATACAATATAATGTTCTTCCAGAGAATACTTTGAGATTATGCCATGGCAACTTTCCATAGTCTAGATAATGTCACAACAAACAAAAACAAATAAGTCTCAATATACAATGAATAACCCTCCTGATCTGAAGAGAAAGTTAGATTTGATGTATATGTTTATACTTTGTTTATCACTTCCATTTAGAGACAGTGCTAAAGAAACCCCAGGGCACTATATAGATATGCAAACTACTTATAAAGTCATTGGTGTTGAGGTTTAGTTTATGCATGGTACACACTAATCTGAGATGTTTTATCTGAATTTAATGGAGCAAAAAAAACCTTAAGGAATTTGCTCACTAAATTTTAAAGTACACCACACTGCGAATGAACATTTACCTAATGATTTAACTGAGTATTTCATATTTGGAGGTTAACAAATTAGGAAAAAGCACCTGGATCTTGAGAAATCCACAGTACACCCTTGTGAGTAATTTCTGCTCTAATTTGTTCTCAGAACCACCACTGCAGAGTTCGTTAGTAAGTGTTTCAATATCTTTCAGATGCCCAAAGAACCAACCACTTTGGTACAACTGTCCATGGCAAGCAACCCTTTTTGAGTCTTGACGTTTTTAGCTCATAGCAGTCACTATTGCAAAACGACTGCTCAATCTGCCAGCTGTACAGCAGAAATTAAGCAACAGTGTAAACTGTGATGATCAAGATACCATTGATATTTGAAGCATAAAACCATACTTTTTTTACAAAAATATACATAGAAACACAAGAACCTTAGTAGCTGCCCAAGACATTTAACAAAGTGGACTCTCTTGTGTAAGATTCTCTGTACTGTATTTTTTTAATAGTAGTAATTGCCTGCTCCAGGGATAACTAACAAAATTATTTTAAAGCAATGTTGCAACATCATAACTCAACTGTTTATCTAGATGATACATGCCTAAAAAACAAAGTACATTGGTTAGTGGCCACTGGACTTGGGACTAGCCCATGATCTGGATCTGGATTTTGATCTGGATCTGGATTTTGATCTAGATCTAGACTGCGATCTTGACTGAGATTTGGATCTAGCTGATTCTTTTTTCCTTGATTCTTTTTCATATCTTGAGCTGGACTTATAATGTGCCTTAGAATCCATTTTAGAGTTGCCTCTAGATTTAGTGCGAGATGTAGACCTAGACCGTGATTTAGCCTTCATTTCTTTTTTGGCTGGTGACTTAGATCGTGATCTTGAATTGGACTTTGACCTTGAAAAAGATGTGTTACGGTGTCTGAACCTATCAGAAAGAGGAAGATAATACATTTGAATATGGTCAAGCTCGTTAAGTGTTGTATTATCTCACATTAAAATGGCTTATTGTTGCAGGCACAGGCTTTTCTGATTTTGAATGTGTTATATAAAAGAATGTTTACCTATCATTATCTGAACGACTTCTGCTACGGCGATGTCTTCCAGCAGGTCTACTGCTAAAAAGGTACATGAGAAAAAGTAAACAGTGGCATATACCTTTAGAATTACTCACACACCCCCAACTAAAGATTCTTGAGTTGCAATATTTCTTTTTTCTTCAAGGATGCACTATTTCTGATAGTTCATGCAAGGTATAACAACGTCCATGCATGTTACTGCTAAGGTGACTTGGAATCTAGGTGTCAGACAGTCAATGAGTTTCTTCTTCATTACAGGGCAGCATAGGTCAAGCTAAGTACAACACTTACTTTCTAGGACTATAAGATCTGCGATAGCTGTAATCAAAAGAACGGCTTCTTGACCTCCTTTCATAGCTGCGACTTCTTGAACGCCTGTATCTGTCATAATCATCGTAACGAGATGAGCTGTACACATTTCTTCCTTCCTTAGCTTTCATTTGGTTTGGTGCTGTAGGGAAAAAATGAACAGTTCTTTATTAAATGTTAGTACCTGATGCAATGATGCCTCATTTATTTGTCTTCTGTAGACGCTGGATACTGAAAACCTAACTAGGATTGGTTTTGAACACATTTAAGTGGGTTTCATCTCTCCATTTCTTCTCAATCCAGAAAAAGCTTAGCACAGCTTTTAACAGACTGAAATCAACAGAGAACTTGCATTATTTACACTAACTCCTTTTCTTACTGATCTGTAAGCTAACTTGTGCTTATTTTTTAACCTTAATATTCCATATTAGACTTCAGTAACTGTACATAGAGGGTAGAAGCTCTTGCCTATAATTTATTCTGCTCTGCTTTTCCATTCTTTTGAGTTCCCTAAAACAACTGCAGTCTATTTCTCTTTGCAAACCTGTCTCTTATCACCTTTTCCCACAAGCTATTTTCAAATCTTTGTCTTCTGTATCCATGTTGCTTTTCTCTCCCAATAAACCCTCACAACCTGCTCTCTCTATTCACTATTTATTGTGTTACTTTTCCATACTTCACTTTCCTCTCCAGAGTTAGCTATGTAAAATTTTTTGTTGGGAGAGCACACAAGAGTTCTTCACATTCTTCACAGTATTTTTGGTTAACACGTCTTTACCTCCTGACTTAAGGGTTGTTTTTACTGGAATTATTTTTTATCTTTGCAAGCTAGAATAATGTGCAGTATCAAACCGTATTAAAGAGATCTTTGTTTAGCTGACTTTCCATGCAGCAGATAAAAAAATGCATAAAATTCCACTCTGTTTTGTTGTACAGTTGCTTCTCACTTTATGTGACTCAACAAACATGACTTTGCCAGGATTGTGCCAATAACTGTTTCTCTGAGTTCTTGTAAACTCGTGTTTGTGTTATCAGTAATAGTACCCAGCCACCTTGTGTTCTCTCAGCCTTTTTGATTGCCTTCAAATTTTCCAGGCGTTGGATCTTCAGTGACTGTTACCTATTCTATGTGCCCAAAATATCTAAGCTTTAGTTTCATTATTCCAGTAAGCTGCCTGGTTTTCCTTCATATACTATTAAACGAGTAGTTATTCTCAGTATTTTTCACCAACAGTGAGATCCAAAAGTATTTATTTATGAAATTTGTCCCCCGCCCATCTCCCCCCAATGGGGGACTCTATGCATTTTGCTTTATTCAGCCTTTCTGATGGTCCAGCCACTGTAACCATCTTTGTGAATTTCTGAATCT